AATTCTACCTAGCTTTCAATCCTAGTTTGAAACTGGTTTTCTGAAAAACAGTAAAAAATACATTTTTTCCACACCTTGGTCTCACCTACTGTATGTAATCAATATCAAAATACTYCATCTAGTTGAAATCTTAAAATTKTATCGAAAGTTCATTTATGTCTAACTGAAAGATTAAAAAAAAACTTTTTGCAAAATTGAAACAATTTAACTTTTTGTTGATTTCTTCCACTTTTATAAATTAACTAGGTGCAATATTTCTAATTTTTTGTTKAAATTCTAGTATTCTAAGTATTCTAATAAGAAGTGAATATTATGTCTGAATCTGTTAAATATAAATTCCAATAGTACCCATAAACTAAAAAAGCCTTTTACAAAACCTATCTAAAAAAACCTGAATATGTCATTTATCTAAATAAAAAAAAAAAACAAAACTGAGAAAACTGATAGAAAATTATGTCAGTTTCCCCCTTTCTTAAAATTCTATACATTATTAATTTTATGCTTGTTAAACTGACAGAAAAGCTGATTTTTTAATGACGAAAGTAATTGCTTTTAGAAAACCTTTGAAAATAATATCCCAAAATGCAAAAATTTAATATTACTTATTTGTTAAGATTTTCATTTTTGAAGTATATTAAAATAAATTGTATAATTTAAACGATAAATACCTACTGATTATATTAACTATGCATAACCTATATTTTATGTCATATTTGAAAATAAATATTCAACTGAAAAGTATTATGTGACAAATTTAGATTTAATATAATATACTAATGCTAATTAATTAATTAATGATTTTAGTTCTTAATTGTTGAATTAATTTTTTAATCTGTGTTTTTATTTCAGAAATCTAGATTCACTTACAGAAACTGTATCCTTTTTTGAATATACAAATGTACAAATTATTCAATGTGTGTATATTTTTTATAGGTATTATTATAATATATAGAAGTACTGTACTATTTATACTGTACTATACTGATTATAAATAGGTACATGTAACTATTATCATTTATTTAACACTATCCACATGGAATTAATTTTTATAAGTACATTTACTGATTGTGAAGATTTACAATTTTAATATTTTGATTTAAGAAAAAATATATACCTATATATATATTTTGATTACTTTATATATATATGTTTGTATTTAATATGAATTGAATTAGGTAATTACCAACTATTATATTGTTAGTTTTGGACATAATGTTATTATTAATACTTCAAATTTAAATTTAACTTCAAATTATTCAGTATGCAATACCGTTTTACATGCAATATCTTGCACATTGGCCAGAGTATTTTCAAGTTGCTGAATCACCTACTGGGGAAATTATGGGATATAGTAAGTTGTATAGTTCAATTACTCATGTACTGTTTCACAGTGGTGTAGCCAGGAATTTTGTATGTGGGTGGGARGTCTAAGTTTACAAAAATAATACAAATACAATATTTCTTTTATTTACACTTTTTGTACCTAAAATAATGTTTGTAATAAATTAAACAACAAATTATATGAGTGTATAAACATTTTTATTCATTTGTTATGGCTCCAATTTTTCAACTGYATCTTTATTGAGGTGTGATAGTAGTTATTAGTCCAATTATAAAAGGTAGGCTCCAAGGCTTGCATTATCAAAGTACCTCACCACACATTTAATAACC